GTGTTGCATTGTTAGATGTGCAAATTCCCTGGGCTCCATTTCTGATTCTATAGGTCTGAGGTTGGGTTCAACAAGCTTTCCAGATAATGATGAGGCAAGTGGTTCCCATATCACACTTCAAGAAACACTGGTTGGAGAGTTTGGGTAGAGAACCTGAAGGAGATCCAGCTGTAAGATAGGTTGGAATCAGTCATGGAGAGCCATAAATGTCAATACTGGAACCCTTATTCTGGTGGCTAATTGAAAGTTTAAGCAGGTAAATGATAAGATCGTACTTATGTACTTAGAATCTGTTGGCAAAGGATCATGAGACACAAAGGCCAGTAAGATAGTTTTTGTAATGGTCAAATGAGGAGAAAAGGGTCTCAGGTAGGACGGTGGCAGTCAGAATAAAAAGGCAAGTGAAGGGCGGGAGACACACTTCAAAGAATCCGCAGGGCTCAGTTGACTGTAACGGGTGTGGGGAGGATAAAAGTTGCCAAGTTTATCCAAGATGCCCAACTTAGTGAAAAAATGGTGGTAGTAACCACAAAAACGAAAACAAAAAAATTCAGAACAGCAACTGATTTGGGAAAGACTTGGCGAATTTGCCCTGTAGACAGGCTGAGTTTCAAGTACCAGTAAGACTTATGGGAATAAGTAACAGACAGAGGTGGAAAATGGAGCTCCGTGGAGCAGTCTGGGCTGGAGACCTAGACAAGGGACTCAGCGGGTAGGAGGAAGTGGCATGGAGACAGATGTGACCAAGTAGACCCTTGAGCTGAGAACACAGCCCCAGAGAAAGCACATACATTTAGGGAGCAGGAGAATGAAGTGGTTTGAGAGAGAGAGAAAGAGGGAGAGAAAAGGAGAGGAAATCATCAGAGAAATGAGTGAAACCAAATAATACATTGCCCCAGAAAAAAATGAAAAGAAATATAATGAGGAGGATGGGCGAGATGGTCAAGCAACGGGGAGGATCATGGAAATAAGGTCTAAGAAAGGAGGTAAAAGTTTTACATACAAGGAGATCATTAGTAATCTTTGCCAGAGAAGTTAGTGGAATCTTGGGAGGAGAAGCCAGACTGCGGTGAGTTGGGTAGGCACATGGAAATCCTCAGACTAGAGCAGCAGTTCTCAAACTTTTTGGTCTCAGAACCCTTTTATACCCTTAAAAATTATTGGAAACCACAAAAACCTTAAGCCAGGTTAAAATAACAATAAGAAACTCATTGATACATTTTGTATTAAAAGTAACTGTCTTTTCCAAAAGAAAAAAATTGAGTGACATTGTTTTATACAAAGCCTGCTAAGAAGATAATCTACCTTGTCTTCAGTTTCCCTTTGACCTCTTACGAAGTACAAAGATAATGAAAGACTACTCATTCCCAGTGAAGAATCAGTAAAGCATAAAATGGAAAAACTTATCCCTCACTATGTTTCAGTAACAGTTTACCTACAAAAATGAGAAGAGATGTAGGGAAAACTATACTTCCGTCTCAAATGATTTAAAGACAATCATAGTTTAAACCAATCTTTTAACTATAATAATGATATTCCATTCTGAAAGAATGGCCTAAATGGGAGAGAGCAGGCAGCTATTTTAAGCTCCATATAAACTAAATCTTTTATAACTGTAATAAGCCTCATTTATATTTTAAGTACACAAATATTTCCTCTTTATTCATCCAAACCCCCAACCAAAAAGATGAAATCTAACCCATAAATGTAGAAACAAAAGCAGGAAAAAGATCAAATGACAGATAGGTTATGCCATTGCAAACTGGGAACAAAGTCTAACCTCATTAAATGTTATAGTTATAGACACTCTAATAAATATCAGTGAAGTGATAAAATACTAAACTTGGTCTTATCTTCCACTAAATCAGGGTGGAAAGGGAGGCACTAAAGTACTTAAAGTAAAACTTCTTAATTCTTTTTCTAGAGATTTCTTAAATTCCACTTTCAACTTTTTGCACTAATTTACACAGGACACATTACCACTTACCATATGACATTAGGGTTTCCAGTTAAGAAACAGGTCACCAATGAGATGAGAAGCACCAGGAAGAAAAGCCAACCTACTGAGGAGGATAACTGAGGGGAAAGAGAGAAGGAGGGTGGGTCCTTTATGATACAGTTTAGCCACTATACTGATTCTGGAACCATCTACCTTCAGACTTCTTGCCATGAGAGATAATTAAACATCTGTTTTTGTTTTAAGGTTTATTTATTTTTAGAGAAAGGGGAAAGCAGGGAAAAAGAGAGGGAGAGAAACATCGATGTGTGAGAGAAACATCAATTGGTTACCTTTCACGGCCCCATCTGGGGACCCAGCCCACAAGCCAGGCACGTGTCCTGACTGGGAATTGAACCAGGGACCTTTCATTTTGCAGGCCGGTGTCAACCTACTGAGCCACAAGCCAGCCAGGGCTTGTTTGTGTTTTTTTGTTTGTTTGTTTGTTTTTAACCAAAAAGAAAAAAGAAAGATGAAAAGGAAAGAAACTGGTCATAAACTTTTATATACGATCCATCAAAAAACTTTATTTTTTGGAACAAAAGTGGTTAAAAACATAGATTTTCTAAAGAGACTTGTATGAGTACGAAACTGCAAAGACACAAAGCTGAAGTATCTGGAATCATTTTGCTGCATGTCATCTTCAGCAAGATCACAAAGTGCTCAAAATTTCTTTGACTTTTTCAACTAGACTGTCGTGTTTGTCTCTAACGTCTTCATTAACGTCTAGTGTTAAGATAGGCACTTCTTATAGATCCAAGTTGGTTTTCAGTGTTCTCTGTAGCAGCCAGCTTCCATGCTTATAGTGGAGTTTCTCTAAATTTTCCAGAGGAATACCTTATTCTTCACTTCTTCTCCATAAAGCATTCATGGAGTACTTTTCTCTGGAGTCAAGCATTTCTCTGCATTTCTCTGGAGTGACTCAAAGATAAATGATTCCATCTAGTTCAAGGCTTCGGCCAAACTGGTTATTCATCCAGTCACGCCAATCTTGATAACTTGTCCACTATGTTTCATTCATGCAGTCAGATTCATACAAATTCGATGCAAAGATATACCTGTCACTCACTATACACAAAGTGTTCAAAAAATAAACATTTCTGTGCATCTTTGAGCTTGCCATTGAGAGAAGTAAGCTGAGCTCCTATTCAACTGAGGCAGGCATATGCCTGGAAGGTAAAAGACCATCCGTCAGGTTTCTCAATGCTCATCATCTGAAGAACATTCCTATCCTTTTCTGTGATGTTGTCAGTTACTGAAATTCACCTTGAATACTTTGAACATTGCAACATCTGGCAAAAGGTTCTGGAACCACTTCCTCCCTAGCAGACTTGTTTAAGGATATTCAAAAATGTTGACTTCCCTGCAGTGATGTTCCCTTCGAGGGAGATTTTCTTGAGGCGGGTTCCCTCAGAGCTGATCACAGGAGACGGGCAGCCCCTCTTGAATGGGATGGCCATTCCTCATCTTGTGCTTGGAGCGCACCTGGCAGGCAGAGCTGAAAGTAGCCACAGGTGCTTGTAGCCGCAGCACCCACAGAAAGTGGCCTGACTTGCAGGCTTGACTCCAGGCCCATTGTAGGATCCCCTGCCCACCGGTTCCGGATTTGATTTTCGCTGATGGAAGCAGCTAGCGAAGAAGGTGCACCTGTGGTTGGGATGCACCTGTGGCGGAGCCACACACACCCCCAGCGACAGGTCCTCCAGCCACTGCGTGCCCTCCCGGCAAGTGAAGTCACAGCTACTTCCCCATTGAATCTGTTGTTCTGGTTGAAATAATGAAGAAAATGCAGTCTCACACAGAAATGAGGGTGGAAAAGAGATTACACTTGGAGAACCACTGATATAAAGGACTCTGCTGAGAAGTTTGACTGTGGAAGGTAGGAGAACAAGAGTAACTAGCATGGAGAAGAAAGTTTTTATTCTAAGGATGAGAAGAGCTCAATTGTGATCACTGGTAAAAAGGGAAGGCTGCTGGGGGTGATGGAAATGAATGAATGAGAGAGTGAAGGAATCAAACAAGCCTGTGTTTGTTCTCCTATGTGTCAGGTGCTGTCACACGTTAATGAAGGTCACTCAAACCTTACAAGTCTCTGAGATTGACATTATCTTTTTTTTTTTCTAATGAGGAAATTGGAGCTGAGAGAAGATAAGCAGCTTTTCCAAAGCCATACAGAGTGACCTTTTAAAATATAAATCAGATCATGCCACTCCCCTTCGATAGCCTATCATTGCACTTCTAGTAGTAGGTGAGAAAACTGAGCCCCAGAGAGGATAATTAACTTGTCTGAAGTCATACAGTTTGCAAAGAGCAGCTTTGAACCCAGGCACTGCCTCCAGAACCTACATGCCTAATCAAGAAATCCAAGCTCCTTACCTTGGCTTATAGAGTCCTAAATGCTCTGGCTCTTGCCTTCCTCTGTGATCTCTCCTCACACCACGCTCTCCAGTCTTACTGGCGTCTCCGATTGTCCAAATTGGCAAACTCATTTCCACCAGGTCCTTCACACAAATTGCAATGCTCCTCTCCTAGTTTTCACAAAGTTAACTTTACGTCATTCACTTCAACTCAGATGTCACCTTATTAGGCCATCCCTGACCAATAAAAGTCCACCTGATCTATCACATTAACCCTTATTAATGTTCTGAAGAACTTGTATCACAATTTTCTTGTTTCTTCTCTTACAGACATCCCTACCCCTCACTGTAGACCCCTCTACTGGTCCCCCCGCCCCAGTAGATTTAAGGGTTTTCAGATCAGGGAGCTTGTCTCTTCGGTCTCCGCTATGCCCAGAGCCTTGGAAGGAGCCTGACACACGGCGAAGACTCAGTGAATATTTGTTGAATGAATGAATGAATGAATGACTCTCCAATGACGGAGACTATCCAAAGCTGTACGCCGGCCTTTGCGAGAGCGCGAGTCGCGCTCGCGAGGCATTCTGGGGATTGTAGTTCGGGCTCGACCCGCGGTGGCACGGGCGTGCGCACTGAGCGGCCCTGTTGTTGCTATGGCTTCTGAGTCCCGCCGCCAGAGGAAGGCCGTCCAGTTAGGCGCCCGCTAGCTTCCGCAGCAGCACCGACTGGGCAGCGGAAAGAATCGGCGCGGTGCGTCTGGGGAACCGGGGGGCACGGCGGAGGCGGGGGCTGGGGTCCCGGAATCCCAGAAACCGGCGGGGAACAGCGGAAGTTTTCTCTTGCCGATTTGCTGAGTATAGCCCACTCCCACGGCTCTGTGAGTAAAGGCTCTTCGCCATCCCCGTTTTATCCACGGGCTAACTGGCTTGAATAAGCTAAGTGGCTTGCTCGATGTCTCCCTCCCAGAAAGTGGCAGAGCCTACCTTAGAGCCCAGACCTGCCTCTTTCAGTCACTGTGGAGCCCCAGGAGTGTATGCTTGGGCTCATACTCCTGGCGAAGCCTCCCTCATCAGTGGCGGGGACTGGCTTGCCGGACATGATGCCAGCCTGTTCAGCCCCGTCGGGATTCTGAGTGAGGTCGTGAAGTTCCACTCCTCCCACTCAGAATCTGAAACTAGGGATAGATAAGACAAAGTTACATGAATAAAATATCAGGGCATGTTGAAAGCAAACGAAAGTACATTCAATGCGGTTAGATTCTGTTTTCTTCATATGGCCTATGGTTTAATAGATGTAGAAACAGGTTCAGAGACATTAAGTAACTGCCCTAGGTTTACAGAGTTTGTGGGTGGAGCAGAGATTCCAGCCTAGGTTTCTCTGCCTTCAAAACTTACATGCTTTATATGCTACCTTTTTTTTTTCTTCAATTAATGACCTAAATTTCTTATATGGCGGCTGCATTGTGTAGACCAGTTATTCTCAGTGGGCCCCAGATCAGCAATTTCAGCAACTGAGAACCTGTTAGAAATGCACATTCTTGGGCCCCACCTCAGACCCACTGAGTTAGAAATTAGAAGTGGGGCCTAGCAATGCGTTTTAACAAGTCCTCCAGGTTAGTCTGATGAGCACTCATGTTTGAGAACTACTGGTTCACCTAGGGATCAGGTTAAAATACAGAATCTTTCAGAAGGTCTTGGGAGAGACTGGAGATTCTGCATTTACAACAAATGCATGGGTAATGCTGAAACTGCTGGTCCATGGACCATACTTTGAGTAGTGGTTCTTAAACTCGGACGCACGTTAGAGTTACATGAGGAGCTTTTTAAAAAATAGGATACCTTGGCCCCACCCCTAATTAATGAATCAGAACCTCAGGGGTGTGGCAGCCAGCTAAAACCCACTGGGGATTCTAACATACAGTGAGGGTTCAGAAACCCTGGTGTAGGGTTTGGAGTAGGGCAGCCATGGATTTGAATCCCCGCACCTCCATTTGTCAACTATTTGACCGTGGTCAAGTGACTTAACCTTTCCTGGCCATATTATTCTTGTTTATGAAATGAATATAAGTAATACTTGGCTTGCAAGATGGTGAGTGGATGCTATGAGGTGTGTACATGAAGCACCTGGCTCATAAGGGTGCTCCAGACTCAAAAATTGGGGAGTTGGGCAAACTTGGGGAAGTCCAGGCTGGGGATTTTGCACTATAACCTGGTGGAGGTGAGTTGTCACCTGCACCCCTAACCTGCTATGTCTCCTATCTGTGTGCTCCTCCTGCAAGCAGCCAGCAGCGTGGGAAGATGGCGGTGAGCCACTCGAGGAAGGAACGGACCATCTCTGAGAACAGCCTCATCATCCTGCTACAGGGCCTGCAGGGCCAGGTAACCACTGTGGACCTGCGGGATGAGAGTGTGGCCCACGGACGCATAGACAATGTGGATGCTTTCATGAACATCCGCCTGGCCAACGTCACCTACACGGACCGTTGGGGGCACCAGGCTGAGCTGGATGACCTCTTTGTAACAGGCCGTAACGTCCGTTATGTCCACATCCCAGATGACGTGAACATCACCGAGACCATTGAACAGCAGCTGCAGATGATCCATCGTGTGCGCAACTTTCGCAGCCTGGGGCAAGGCCGACGGGAATTTCCCACCAAAAAGTATAAATGAGCCTGTCCCGTCAGCAAGCCCTAGTCACCACTCAGGTTCCTCCAGAGCTCTACTGAGCCAACTGCCTGCTGTCTGTCCCTGCCAAGAACCTGGCAAGGGAGCAGGGCCAGCCCAGAAACTGGTATCTGACAGACAACCCGTATCACAGCTGCCTTTCACAAGGTTCTACCTCCCAGACTCACCCTGGGGCCCAGAATCCTATTTATCTGTGGCCTTGGGGTAGGTGACAATCCCTCTCTTTTGATCATCTGTATTTGAATCTCTGATTTACTGATTCAGGAAATCCATCAAATAGTTTTTCAACTATCCCAGTGAGGATTATTCAGTGTGCTCGGCCTCAGCCAGCCCTAAGTGTCTCCATTTCTCTTGCAATTGTGTGTGTTTTCTCATAAAACTAAACTTGGACACAAACAAGCGCGTGCTTCATGCTTTCCCTGATGCGTGCAGGCTCCCTGTTGGTCTGTTGTCCTAGGACGCTGGGTCTTAAACTTGATTGCACATTGGAATCACCTGTCCCACCCTCACCTATTTTGAGTTTTATTGGTATGGGGTATGGTCTGGGCATTGGATTTTTGTAAGTTTCTCACGTGGTACTAATATGCAGCAAAGTTTGGGAATTGTAATAGAGTCATTCAGTCAGTCTGGTTAGGTAGAAAGCGGCTTTTCTGTTCAGATTCTCTGTTGAAGGGGCTATTGGTCTTATTGCTATTTCCTGAGGTAGAAAAGTTGGAGTAACCATGGGCCCTCCCCTCAAGTGTGGGAACTCATCCAACAGCAAGAAATCAGTCTTTTAATTCTGAGTCCTCGGGGAAGAGGGGGTTCTGGAAATTAAAACGCAAGTCTTTGTTATCGCTGCCTTGCAGCCATACCAGCCCTCCCACAGGCAGACAGCCATCTCTGTAAAAGCAGCTCGGTGCTGTGGAACTAGAGGGTTTGTCTTCATCAGACAAACATCCACAGAGCAGCTGTACCAGGCCTTCTGCTGTGCACGCATTGACAGTGAGAATTGGTCCTTTCAGGAGAGGGGCTTAAAATCCATCAGAAGAGGTGATCAAGATCCACAGAAACAAAATCCAGCCCAAGAACTACTTCCCCAAGTTTTGAATAAGGCAGGGCCCTTCACGTTAAGATGCTGTCCTGTTTTGAGGGAGATTTGAGAGGAGTGTTCATTTGGGCACTCGCAGCTCAAGGTCACTGCATTCACATGCCAGCAGTCTTTGTCAGTGTTGTCCTAGCTCATCAGAACCAAGTGGGATGTGTCTCGGGGAGCCACTTTCCTGGCTCCTACTTTCCCTAGACATGAACCAGAATTGAATCTGGGACTCTGCATTATTAATTTAAATTTAAACTGAGACAGCCTGCCATTTAAAGAATCAGGTACCCTGTGGCAGGCATGGCTCAGTGGATTGGGTGTTGTCCCGCAAAGTGAAAGGTCGGGGATTCCATTCCCAGTCAGGGCACGAGCCTGGGTAGTGGGTCTGGTCCCCGGTTGGGGTGTGTGCAAGAGGCAACCCATTGATGTTTCTCTTGTACATCCCTTCCCCTCTCTCCCTTCCGCTCTCTCTCAAAATAAATAAAAACCTTTTTAAAAAATGAGAACCAGGTACTCACTCTCCAGGAGGCTTCCGATACCGTATTTCATTGCAGCCCAGAGGTCCTAGAAGCTGCTTAGACTCTGCCCTTTGCCTTCAGAAGAGAACAGTGGATTCCAGCAGGGAGAAAACCACTTCTCAGAGGTTTCCAGGCACCTCTGACAAGCCAGAGTTAAGGGAAGCAACACCACAAGGTGACTTCTGGTAAGAAAGCAGAGGGCAGGCACAAAAGGGAGGTCCTCACTGAAAATGTTCACATACTCACAGCCAGTGGAGAGAGAGCCACTGGTCTGGAATGACGAACACAGCCGCCTCCGTTGCACAGGTTTCCCGCATGTCTTCAGGTGTTTCCAACTTCAAGAGGGCTTATGCTATGAGTTTGGCCTAGGGATGGAAGAAAGGTCTAGCTCTGAGGCTTTTAAACAGTATGCCAGGGGCTTCTACATCCTCAGCAGAGCAAGGGGGAGCCCCCAGGCCGAGGAAGAAAGAAGGGCCAGTGCAGATTGCCGAGAAGAAAGGCTCAGGACATATCCCATAAGCACTGTGAGCCAGCCCCCAGTAGAGCTGCTGTTCTAGGCAAGGCACAGGGAGGATAGATAGATGGGAAGGAGAGGAACCAGGCCCTGCTGAGACACACATGCTGACTCCCTGGATAGAACACAGCTAAGTCTTCAACCCCAAGGCTATGGGTCTTTTGGCATCTGGTCCTAGATTCTGGGAAAGGCCTGTCAGGGGTCCACCAGACTATTGCAAGTCAGGAATTCCCTCACTGCCACTGACCAGTCATTCTACAAGTAGTTCTAGTCACAGTGCTAGCTACATACGTCATCATCAAGGAACATCAAGATGGACAAGGGTACTGCTCTCAGGGAACCGACATCCCAGAGTGGGAGATTAACAATAAACCAAAAAACCTAAAGATATTAATGGATGTTATGAAGGAAATAAGCAGAGCACTTAGAGAGTAGAGAGGTAGTTTTATTTTGGAAAGTGAGGCCCAAAGAAGTGAAATCTAAACTGAGAAGAAACCTGCCATTTAAAGAGCCAAAGGAGCCCTGGCCAGGTAGCTCAGTTGATTAGTTAAGAGTGTCGTCCTGATACATCAAGGTTGTGGGTTCGATCCCCAGTCCAGGGCACATAAAAGAATCAACCAATGAACGCATAAATAAATGGAACAACAATCAATGTCACTCTCTCTCTCCCCTGCCTCTAAAAATCAATTTTAAAAAAATTAAAGAGCCAAAGGGGTGGGGGGGACCAAAAGACGGTGGAGGAAACTGCAGGTGCAAAGGTCCTGAGGTGGGAAAGCTCAAGAATACCATTGTGACTATTGAGCCAGGAGAAATGGGAGAGGGGTGGAGCAAAGGATACAAAGACCTATGGGTAAGGAATGTAGCGGGTTCCAATTTCTGGTGTGTAAGAAACATAACCTGAGCTTTCTCTAACTGACCTGAATACATATTTCACCTAACTCAGCCAGATTGGCAGAAACATAATTGCAGACATTTAAAAGTCCCCTCCCCCCGCAACTTTCCTTGGCATTGGCTACATTCTAGAGCCCTCCCTTTCAAGATGCCAAAGCATGGGAAGTGTAGGCTGATCTGGTGGTCACCCAGTCACACTGGCATACACTGAGATGTCCCCGTTTTGTTCCGGTTTTTCGTTTTTGATCCACTCAGGCTGCGCAGATCCACGAGGGCTTCGTTCTGGTGTTTTGTGATCAGCCCACTCAGGTTGCTGTTGAAATGCTCATACTTGACCAAAAGACCTCCTGACCTCCCTTCAGGGTAAGACATACCCCTCTCAATGTTTAGATTTTTAGCCTGCTTTTCCCAGACCAGTCAGGCCGAAATTCTTAGGGTCTCGGGTTGGTTAGGCCCTGTTGGATCAAATGCAGCAAACAGCTGTTCCTTCAGAGGGTTTTGTTACTTGTTGGCGCTCCACCAGGAAAAAAGAGCACAACCTTTCCTGCTTGCCAGTCCCTGCAACCCAGCTGATCCCCTCCAGCTACAAGGCTGAGGAGAATCTTCTCTGTTCTCAGGGACCACTTCCCCGCCAGTCTCCCAGATCCCCCTGTTACACAGCTTTCTAAATTTGTATCTCCTCTGGAATTCTTTCCATTCCTCCCTGAAGGCTTAGGCCTTTAGAATTCAGAAGCTAAAAATGAACTCTGCATTCTGTTTTATCATTTGTTTCCTGGCGTAAGGAATGCAGATTAGCCTATCTGCATGAAGGAAAGGCCCAGGAAACACCAAGGAAAAGATTTAAAAAAACGTATTTCAAAGGTCATGACCCCATCAGAGTTTGGGTTCTGTGCTACTCATGTTGTGGCATGTGTTCAAGTCCACATGTACATCAATATGGGGGTCCTGGTTGAAGACTGAGTGCTCAGGTGGTATGGCATGTCCCCTCCCTCCCCTCCTGTTCCTGGAGAGAACACAGGGGTCTTTCATTTGCGGGAGGGAACTATTACCAGGGCTCTGAGGAGCTGGGTGGGCAGGCAGCTTGAACTTTACATCTCCCTGATCCAACATCTCCAGCTCTCAGCTGGGTGGGACTTGAAGGGACTTGAAGGAGAACATCCAGTTCAGTGAGTTCCAGTCTGGCATCCCTGGCTAAAGGATCCCTGAGGGCGGTAGGGGTCCCTTGAGTTCTTATCAGTGTTCCAGAAAGGCCCAGAGAAACGGCACAGAGTATGTGAAAGGTAACCAAGCTAGCTTGGTCTCTGCTGTGGGCTGGAATTATGCTAACAGCGTGGTTGGTGGTCATCCTGGCTTGCTCCTCCTGATCACACGGTCTAATGCCTATGACATGAGGCTTTAACCAATGAAAAGAGGGGAATGACTTGATGCAAGTTGTACAGGAAGACAAAATCTTACCAAATGTGAGGCTCCTGTGGAGGGAAAAGTACTAAGAGAAGCTTTGAAAGTGAGAAGGTTGAGAACCACTGATCCTGTCAAACTGTCACTTTAAAGTTGAGGAAACAGGCCCAGTTTCCTGAGGGGGAAGGGGAAGGGACTCTCTTCAGGTCCCGTGATTAAGTGAATGGCAGAATGCCAAGATGGTCCTAAGTAGCTACCACTTGCTGAGCCTCACTGTGTGCCAGGGCCCCATGTGCTCAGGAGGGCAGGGCTGTAGGCTCTTTGGTCCCACTGGATCTCCAGTATTTAGCTCAGTGCTCTACACCTAGCAGGCCCTCCACAAATCTTTGTGGAATGAAAGAATCATCTCATTTCATCATTACAACAACCCTGGAGATATATATTAATAGCCCCATTTTACAGATGAGGGAGCAGATCCAGAGAGGTTAAGTGACTTGCTCAAAGTCAAAGAGCCAGTGAACAGCAAGCAGAGTGGGGATTTGAACTCAGGTTTGTGCGACTCAAACTCCAGGATACTACACTACACTACTCTGCTTTCCAGCACTTCCAACATCACACCGAAGGCAGAGTAAGATAAGCAGTGCCTTGCTCACCTTAGTGATGGTACCCAGCTACCAAGAATGGGCACTCAAAACTTGCTATACCTACCCAGGCCTTGGGGCTTGGCCATAAGGAGAAGCCAGAAGCCAGCCAGTAAGAAGGATTTGCTGGGTTTCAGAAGCCTGAGTAAGCTTATCAGGGTTGAAGGTCTCCTCCTCTCCAGTAATAGGCAGACCTACCTATACCTCATCAAACTACCATCTCATGCTGTTGTGACAGGTGGCCCTTAGCTGTGGCAGCAACATCTGCCAATATGCCCAGAGTTGGAGAGCCAGCAGGAAAGTATGTCACTGTGTGTGTGTGTGTGTGTGTGTGTGTGTGTGTGTCTCATATTGGTGTCCTGATGACAGTTTTTCGTTTCTTCTGGCTGGCACCTTTAGTTCCTATTCATTACCTCTTCTCCTTCCCTCTTCCTCTTCCTCCTCCTCTCCTATGTTAAAATCCTATATTTTAAATCAGCTGAGAGTCTCCTGAGGGTGGGGATGGTGGTGTCAGCTCCTAGTGATTCATCTAGCTGATAATTAGAGCTCTGGAAAACCCAAAACTCATTCCTGTCAGAGTCAGGGCTTCCGGAATCCCTAGGCTTTTCCCTTTGTCAGAGAGGAGGGCTTTGGGGGCAGGGGCCTGGCTCCTTTGTGCCTGACTTTCTGTCATCCACTTCATCAGAGCTCTGTAACTGAGGCTGACAGGAGCACTTACTCGCCAGGTCCTGTGAGAAGCTGTTTGCACACTCACTGAATCCTCACCGTGATCCCACAGGGTGTTACCCCTATTTTGACACATAGGGAAGGCTAAGGAACTTACACTTGTCACTCAGCTTGTAAGGAAAGCAGTAAGGATTTAAATCCAATCTTTTCAGAATCTGCCAAAGTTGGTTCAGATTACAGTCCTGCCGTTATAAGCCATATGTCTTTAGAAAGGTTACTTCCCACCTCAGAAATCTAGATTTTTCATCTGTAAACAGACTTCTAACCTGATGTCTCTAAAGTGCTTAACACAGGGTGTGACACAACAGTGAGAGCTGTTTTGATTACTATTGTTATTCAGCCCTGTCAGCTCAGAGGCCACCAGTCATTTAGACAGACAAAGAGATGACACTGGAGGCGGCAGCCAGACACACACACCAACCCTCATGTCCTGGCACTGCCTGTGTGGAGATGACAAATGCACATACACGTAAATGCCTGGCCACACGCCCTAGTAAAACCCAGCAGTGCACACGGGCTTGGACACGTGTGCCTACACATTGATACAGAGTGACTCAGGGGACAGCTGGCAAAACACCGGGATTCAGACAGTCGTGTGCAGCAAGCACCGCAGCTCACACCTCTGAGACAAAGAAGTGACGGCCATGGTCGCTGGTGCTGCTGCCACTGAGCCCTTTTAGCTGCTTCTGCATGCCAGGGGAGGGAAGCCAGGCTCTCACAGGGCCCCAGTGAGTCAACAGCCTGATGCAATCAATCCCTTTAAAGGGCTCATCTGATGGTGCAAGAAGCTGATTCATGGAGGGCGTGGTTGCTGGAGGAGGAGGAGAAAGGGACCGAAACTGCCACAGGAGGGACTGGGGTTAGGTGGCTGGAATCGTTAATAGAACTCTGCACTGTGACTCTCCCTCGTCAAGACTTCAGGGATCTTCGGGTTGAAGCGGGTTTTCAACAAAAGCGAGGGGCCCAGAGGGAAATGCATTGTGAGGGCTACGACAGGAATTCCTGTAATTTATTGAGTCTAACGGCAGCGCTCTCCGCACAGAACTCCAGAAACCGATCAATGGGGATCAGAGAAGAGCCATTTTTCTGATAAATACACTACAACTGGCCGACCTTACACTTGCTGGAGACTTCACCAAACCCGGCAGGGAGAAACTGTAGGGCACCAGAGGTGCTGAGGAGTTGGGGCGGGGGTGGTGCCTCCGGCCCAGGCTCTCCGCAGATTTAGGAAAAAAAAAAAAGGTAAGTGCCGCCCCTTTAGAGTCTCAGCCTCCAATCGTTTCACAGGACCCCACCCTGAACCAATCCGCAGTCGAAATCTGGCTTCTTGCCTGAAGGCTTCCGCCCATCGTCAAGATGGTGTCCAATCCCAACGCCGGGAGGCCGTAGACACGGGCGAGGGGCGGGGCCCGGGGAGGGGTGGGGCTGAGGCTCAGTACAGGAGGAGGGAGTGGTGCGTCACTTCCGTTGTCAGGTGGCGGCGCCGCAGCCATGGAGGGAGGCAGCGGCGGTGGCTGCGGCTCCGGTGGCTGCGCTGGGAGGCGGCGGTGAGCGATTCCCACGCCCCCGGCCCGGCCCCGGCCCCCCGGGACGGAGCTCCGAGCAGTCCCGGTCCCGGCTCCGGGCTACAGACTATGGAAGAGCAGCGCTGAACACCGGGCGAAGGTGAGGGCGGGGGGTCCGGGAGCAGGGAACCGGGAGGGGGTGCGGGTTTTCTGGGCGGGCCTCAGCGGCCGAGGGATTGGGACCGTGGTGACAGCCCAAGGCCGTCCGTCTGTGTTAGAAATGGCAACAGTAAATGCCCCCTCTTCTACTGGGGTCTGCGGCGGGGGCGGCTATGCGCCGGAGATGGGGGACCGCGGGGAGCCTCAGTCCCGCGGGAGCCCTGGGAGGTGGGCACTGACTGCCAGCCTTGCCTGGAGTCACTCCACCAGCAAGTGAAGGCACTGGCGTTTGACCCAGCCAGGTTTTTCCCAAGAGACACCGTCTGCCTCTCCATGCTTCCCTCCTGATCGGAGAGAGACTTGAAAGTTAGAAAGAGTCCCTAGGGAGGGCCGGCCAGGGCTTCCAACAGGAGCCCTCACCGTTGGCACGGGCATCATCGCTGCTCGGGAATGTTCTCCTTCCGGGCGGCGTTCAGGTGCGGATCAGAGCTACCTGCTTGCCAGGGCTACGTTTCGGTCGGCCTTTTCCAAGGAAAGAGCCTGCTGCTGTGGTCACTGTTTCACCTGTCTTGCTGGGTGAGATCCGCCCATTCCCACTTGGCCTTACCATCCAGTCAATAGGTAGGGGTGTTGGGATTCCCGACGCGGAGTTCTATGCCCATCCCCACTCCCTAGGTTTGATGCCATTTGTTGGCGGAAGAGATGACAGCCACCTTATGTGGCAGGATAGACTTTGCTCTGTCTTAAGTCACGGGAGGAAACTGGTTGGCTTTGCTTGGTTTTGAGAGCAGTGAGGAAGAGGGTAGTCACTCTGGGCTGGGTGCCTTTTCCTCTCGGCTTAGCGCTCATGAGATAAGGAAAAGTAGAATATGTAACTGTAAGGCCAAACTAAAACAGTGTGTGTGAGCTGCTCCAGTGCTCTACTGGCCCAGCTGTGACAGATGTTTATGGGGAGTCCTAGACAGTCTGGAGATAGCATAGCCCTCATTCATTCATTCATTCCCCACATGTCAACAACAGTATCCCTGACTGGAAAGGTAAGTACCTATATTATAGTGGTTAAGAGAGGGCTTTGACCCTAGCTTGGTGGCTTAGTCTGCTGGAGCATCATCCCATATATCAAAAAGTTGGGTGTTCGATTTCCAGTCAGGGCACATACCCAGGTTGTTGATTTGATCCCTGCTAGGGGCTCGTATGGGAGGCAACCAATTGATGTTTCTCTCACACATCCATGTTTATCTCTCCCTTCCTATCTCTCTAAAATCAATAAACATACTAAAAAAAAAAAAGAATGGGCTTTGGAGCCAGATTTCCTAAGTTCTAATTCTGGCTCCACAGTCTTCTAGTTGTGTGACGTTGGGCACTTCGTTTAACCTCTCTGTGCTTCACTGTTCTCATCTCTAAAACAGAGGTGATAACATTGAGTTGTAATTGAAGATTTTAAAAGTTAACACATGTAAAAAACATAGGACCATGTCTACCATATAATAAGAGTCCAGTAAATGCTAACTACTATTCTTATTTCAAGAAGTTTATGGTCTGGTAAAGGGAAACTGACCTGTAAACAAAAAGTTGAAATGTGGTCTAAAAAAACTAGTAGTGGCTGGAACAGAGGGCTATGGGAGCCCAGTGGAGGGCGCCACTGGCTCAGTCTGTAGGGGGAGGGTCCTGGGAAGGTTTGGCCAAAGTGATAACGTGGGAGCTGCGTCTAGAAGGATGGGAAGGCTTAGCCAGGTGAGAATGAATGAGCAAGGTGTTCTACTTAGAGAGAGACAAGTAAACTCATAGTTTATTCCAGAAGCCTCAGATTGTTCCATACGGTGGTATGAAAGTCAACATGGTGCCAGGTAAGGCAGTGTAGGTTGACAAGGGAATACCACATTAACAATTTGGACTTTGTGCTGAGGGCAGTGGGAGCCAATGAAAAGGTTTTAAGCAGAGGAGTGTCATGATTGAACCTCGTTATAGAACTGCTTCCCTTGAGTCCCTGCAGAAGAAGAAAGGAAGAAGAGAGACTAAAGGCAGTATTGGAGACCTTTTAGAGGCCATTGCAGGCTTCTAAGAGAGAATTTGTGCTGGGGTGGTGGGTCCTTGCTGAGAAAGCACTGTATCCAATCAGTGTCAGGTAACAAGCTCCCTGCGTTTCACTGGGTGTCTCTGCATAGCACAGAAGTGCCTGGCGCATGTGCCCCTATCCTCTGGGGATTGCAGGTTGGTTGAGTGGCTGGAGAGATGAGGCTGCCCTCTCAGAAGGCCAGTTGCAGGGGGTCCTACATTTGCTCCCTGTGCCTTTAATTTGACCTTTCAGAAGGCAACAGCTTGTAGTGGTTAAGAGCCTACTGCGCTCTACAATCAGATCTGGGTTCTAGTCCCAGGCGTGCCAGTCTCTAAAGCTCTACAGGTTACTTATTCTCTCCATGCCCAGCTATCTCATCTGTTAAATGGCGACAGCAGAGCCCCTCCCTAGGATGGCAGTTGTGAGGCTTAAGTAAGTTGGGGCAAGTTGAGCATTTAACACACACTGAGTGATACCTGTTGTTATAGACTGCAGGAAAGAACTTCCAAGAATTAGGTGATGCAATTAGTGGCAACTAGAACTGTGTCTCATTGAGCTGCCGGAAATTTCTTTAAGGAATCATAAAATCATAGAATTTATTGTATTCTTTCTGAAAAGTAAATCTGTGGGGAGTTCACCCAATCTGTATAGGAGCCATTCAGATGATTCAGCTTGGCTCTTTAAAAGAACCATTTTTAAAATAGAAACAGAAGTGCTCAGGGAAAAATTGTGTTTTAAAGTATAAGAAAAAGTATTTAGTGTTTCTTCCATGTGTGTCCCTATTAGTGACCCTAGTCCAGTGTCTGAATTAGTATCAGCAACGAACATCTCACACATTGGTGTGTGTGGTGGCTCAAAATCCAGAACCCAAGTTCCACACACTCAAGCTCTTGTATATTGCTGTGGATGTGCTGGGTGCGGGGAGGCGGGTTAGGGTTAGGGTTGGGGTTGGGAGGGGGTTGAGGGGAGCAGAAGGAAAACAGAGAGGTAGGTAGCAGGGACAGGGCCAGCTCCCAACCAATTAACATTAGCGTAGAGTTTGCAAGTCTCTCACAGAAGTCTGTGCCGTATGCAGTGGAGCCTAGAGGAATGACTGATTCTTCTGGAAGATGACAAGAAGATTGGGGAGAACTGGAGAGTCCTTAGAGCTTACACTGAATCTTGAAGGGTGAAGAGAGTTTGCTGCGGGCTCATGAAGCACCCCAGGCAGGGGAGCACATGGCTCAGGCCTGGCTGTGTGCTGGTGAGTGAGCGCTTTTGGAACCGCAGAGGTTCTAGCATGGAGTGTGAAGGCACCTGGCTGTAGGACGTGCTGGAGAAGTAGGCACCAGTGCTAAAATGCTCAAACTAACTATTCTCTTGGTGATGGGATGCTTTAAGTGGCGGGAACATTAGACCTGCATCTTTCCAAGAGCCCCCTGGCTGTGGGTGGAGCGTGGATTGGGGAGAGAACAAGATTCTGGAGTCCATGCAAGAGGCTGTTGCGGTAATCAAAGCGAGGGCTAGTGGGGGCCCGGATCAGGGCAGAGAACAGGACTCTTTTGAGGGAAATCAACTGAATTCTGGTAGTGTTTGGAAGTGATGGCTAAGGGAGGAACGGCGGTGGCAGGTGACCCTGAGGTTCTTGGTTTGGGTGACAAAGAGTGAATGATAATGCAGAGATAGGATGGCTTGGGAGAAGACAATGACCAGTGAAGTCAGCCAGCTCCATTCAGTAAGCCCTGCACGCACTCATGGGACGGGATCAGTTGCGAAGTCTGTGGCACCTGCCTGGCTTTGGCCCAGGCTTCCCTCTGGTTTTGCCTGAGTCGGTGCCTGAGAGAAGGGCAGCTTCCCTTCATTCACCTTTGCTCTGTCCAGATTTGCCCAGGGAGGTGAGCTGCTTCAATGTTTCAGAAACTCAAGGGCTGAGCCTGAAAAACTCCCATAATTTCTGCAGCCTTCAAATGGCCCTAAAGAACAGCCCTTCAGTCTGACACTGTCCATAGTCATGCAGCAAGCGACAGACTGATGGGATCGTGCACAGCAGCTACCCTCAGGAGAGATGGCTTTCCCAGCTCCCTGGAGATCTTATCTAGAAAGAAACCCTGAGATTGCATTTACTCCAGAGGCTGGTTCAGCACACTGAGCCTCTCTTCTCAGGAAAGAGAGGTGTCAGCCAGAGGCCACCTAGGACCCACTCAGGCCGTAAGGGAAGTGCCTTTGTCCCCCTGAGCTCAAGGGGAATGTGGAGCTAGACCTGCGTGGGATCGGGCTGTGGAGAGGAATGTGCTGGTAGGCAAGGCTTCAGACAGGCCCTTTGGAACTGCAGAGCTCTCTGCAGGATTTGTCCTTGCATTTGTGGTATGGAAAAGAAAGGGGCCTGAATTGAGAGCGCTTCTTTCTCCTCTACCTGCTCAGGTGAGACTGTGGCTTCAAAGGTCTCCAGCCCCACAGCAGCCCTGCATATCCTCTTGGATCTGCAGTCAAAATCCCCAAAAGGGGAAAGTGTGCTATTGCCTGCTCTGATTTACTTACTATCTTAGGGATGGTTCCACTTGAGTACATGCACGTCTGGATCGTTTGGGGCTACATTGTGTTACCATCTTGTATGTAATTTATTCAGCAAGTTTTGTTCTGATGTACTTAGGTTATTTTATGTCTTTTGTTCTTCAAACAAAGCTCAAGTGACTATCTGTATACGTGTGAGCTTTGGTATCTGCAGAATAAATTCTAGAAAAGGGGTTGCTGCTTCAAAAAGTACCTTTTATTATTATTAATTAAAGAATTTCTAGGCCCCCTTATAGTAAACTGAAGATGCCTGTTTTTCGCCCAGCAAGCAAGAGTATTCTTTTTGAGTTGAGGTCCCCCTTTCCTGAGGGGGCTACAATCCAGTGGTCGTCATCCTCTTCTGGCGGATGCAGCCTGTCTTGGGTGTGAGTTTAGTCTCCCTAGTATAGCAGTAT